TTTTGGAGCACCGTTGCTGTCCATGAACCTACTTCCTTCCCGAGTGACTATGTTTCCCTGAACAATAGTTAAGTTTTTCTTGGTCTGAGTAGAGAACTGGCTATGCCAAACTTGTTGGATCACTGTTGCAGTGGCACCAGCAGTCATAGACCCTGTCAAGGCCGGTTGTGGCAGGCCTAGTGAAAGTCCAGGAGTTCTCTTACTTCTTGAATCTAAGGGATGTAAGTATTGTTGGACCTTGCTTCCCGGGAGCTCATCTAAGTCAGGGGCCAAGAGTACCAGTCTGCAACTGTCTCCTGGTAACAAGTGTAATACCCCTGGGGCAGGACTACGGTTCTTTTAACTAATCTGGTGCATCCCGTTTCAGTTCCCATATGTTGATTCTCCTTCTGCCTGGGGGCTGCCTCTCAGCAGCCTACAAAGGCAAGAGAGGCAAGAGACAAGAAACACGCCTGGAATGGCCATCAAGAACTGCACAGGGATCACACCACACAGTCAGGGAACAGTTGATGGCCAGTTTAACTTTAATTCCAGAGAACAAAGAATATATACCCTTAGGAGAATGGGTGGGTGGGTGGCTTCAAGGATGCTTGGTTTGCATTATACTGCATGATCCTAAGAGTAGCATGTCAGTGCTTGATTAACATATAGGGTCAGGGAGGGGAGAGCTGTTGAGGAGCTGTGTCAGAGGCCATGTTTCAAGCGAGGTTAGGGGAGTCTGTGTCTAAAGACATTCTCTAGATGAAGTTAGGCAGAGAGCAGGGGACCCTGCTGAGGGGACAGAGTTCTGTCTTTATCTCCGAGCTTGTAATGGCTATCTGGTCCAGGCAAAAACTTCAACCTCAACCAGCGGGGTACCTCCATGGCTTATGACCTGATCCGGTGGGCCTGTTAAACACATTGTGTGTGTGTGTGTGTGTGTGTGTGTGTGTGTGTGTGTGTTGTTAATCAGGCTTTGGTTAGTGAGTCCCACTTCAGTATAAGTAACCTCATTTGTTTGTAGATCTACCCAGCAGTCCTGACAGGTAAATTAAACTTACGGCTGGCATTTACTAAAGCCAGCATTTTAAGACATGCCTTTTCCAGATGTAAGTCTTTTCTGTGGTCAGGTTCCACATTGTTCTTCCCTGGTTCCCCTAACCAAAGGCCTGTTAAAACCATAACTCCTTGTCCCTCTATGGGAGCCTCCTCCCCCAATTCACAATTGTTCTTTTGTCCTCTGTCACTCACTGGTTGGGGCTGTCTCCACAAGGAATCACAGTCTAATTTTATTGGTGTGGGTAGTTCCATCACAGCGTGACGAGTGTGGAGGGATGATTCATGGCTGGTCCTTTCCCCAATAGAAGGATACCTTAAGGTGACAAGGTTGCTGTCCAGACTAATTTACGTCACAAGGCCAGAGAGGATGAGTAAGGACTGGCTTGAGTGCATGTCCATGGGACTGGAAAGGATCCATATAAACAGAGTAGGAGTTAAGCTGTTGTCTCCATTTTGAAACTGTTTGAGGTGATCAACCGCAGAGGGTCTGGAATGGCTCTCATAGTGCATTCTGGCTTGGGTCCACAGCAGCCTTGGCGTGGCTGTGGTGTATCCATGGCTGATGTGAAGAGCTGAGGCTGTGGGCAGTTTTTGTTCAGTGTCAAACCTCTCAAGAGACAGTGGAGGCAGGTGTGTCCATAGTTCTTTAAGTCCTCTGGGAGCAGTGGAGGTAGGTGGCCAAACATGATATCAAAAGGAGAGTACCCACATTTACAGGGCTAATAATGCACCGTCAACAATACAAGTGGCAGAATTTCCGGCCCGGGAGGTCTGTTTCTTGGCATTGTGTGGCCTGTGCTGTTTAAAAAGTTCTATTCATTTTCTCAATGAAGTCTGATAATTGGGAGGTGGTATTGTGTGTGCAAGTTCCAAAGTTAATTCTCTGTGAAAACAGGAGGAGCTTGTGCTCAGCCTGAAGATGGGCACACCGTAATCACCAAGAATCTGTACCCTCTGCCAGGTTGAATTGTCAATAAAGTCCACTTTTAGACATTTCAATGGACAAAATTTCTGTTTCTGTGGCAGCGTGGGTGCCTTGGATCCCTGCTTGAGATTGTTTCAAGCAAACTGCAGACAGGCTTTGCTAGCTTGTGGTTCAACGCTGGCAACCTTGGGACCATCAAATGTCTTTGCAGTCATTCTTGGAGGGCAGTTTTTCCAGGTATGTTTGCTTCATGAGCTTGCGGGACTAGGCTGTCATCTCTGGAATTAATATGTCTCTATCTGCAGTAGTAAGCTGCCAGCCCTGCTGATTTTCAGTAGCTTCTTAACTTTAAAAAACTTTCCTAGTTTTTTCCCCCTTTTAGTGTATATGAGGGGGGCTCTGAGAGCACTGGGAGGGTAAACATACTGGGGTAAAGGGAGGGGAGTGTGCCTGGGGGCTATGCCTGCATGGAGGAGGGCAGCCTATTTGGCACCTGGTTTGTCAGTTGGTTTTCCAAACTTGCTCGACCTCAGCTCTTTGTATGAATCTGGCAGTGTACCATGGCCACAGTCTGCAGCCTAGACAGCTTCTAGGAGCTGGAGGATTTGGCCTCTGTTTTAAACTTTTTTGCTCCATGAGGTTAGCAGTTCTCTTTCTATATATATTGCTATTTTGAGTTCTTGATGTAAGGGGCTATTTCCCTTGTTGTAGGCTTCAGCTCCTGTCATACAAGTTTCTATAACTGAATTGGAAGCAGCTGGTCCTCAAGGTCCTGCTGCTAGGAGAAAAATCTCTTTTATAATTCCTCTGCAATCATGGAGGGGCTCTACCTCTCCTTCTTCAGGTGGCTGGATTGCATAGACCTGACGGTCTTGGATGAGGGGAGAGATTGGGATTTCCCTTAGTTGACAGGTTGGAATGGGTTCATCCCTGGAACACAGCAGCCAGTCCAGAGGCTGGCAGAGCTACAGACAGAGGAGGTTGGTGAGCATTGCCTCAGGAGGTCAGCATGGAGGTCTTGCCATGGCCTCAGAGCTGGTAGGGAGGTAGCATTGTGGACAAAATTTCATCTTCCTGGGAAGCTAATGTGAGTTCTTTACTGGTTCTTCAAGCTTAGCAGTTTTTGCAAGACTGTGTGGGGTCTCACATATGGACTATGCAAAACCCATGATGAAACGAGTTCCCTAACTAGGAGCTGTGTTTATATGTGCCTAGACCTGTGCCAGCCATCTTGCGAAGACTTAAGGTCTTATCTTAGGGCCACATGTATATCCCTGTCACCTCCTATTACAGGAGGTGAATGCCTTTTCAGGTGAAACCACAGGTGGGGGCTCATTCAGATCCCGTATCCACAAGCACTCACCATTCATTCAGAAATTATACATTCTCATTTTAGATTCTTCTTCTTCTCTTTCTTCTTTTTTTGAGACAGGGTTTCTCTGTGTAGCCTTGGCTGTCCTGGACTCACTGTGTAGACCAGGCTGGCCTTGAACTCACAGTGATTCTCCTGTCTCTGCCTCTGGAGTGCTGGGGTTATAGGCCACCCCCCCCCCAGTTCATTTTCGATTCCTAGTCTGTCTAGTTCCCCAGAGACCAATCTAACTTTTCCTTGAAGACCAGTGCCACCTGGGTATCCCACCAAGGCTATGGATGCAATATCCTGAGGCGTGGTCAATCCCACGCTGCCTTTCCTGACTATCCTGCCCCCTCCCAGATCTTTACCTAGTCTGGATGTCTAGCCTAGCCTCGTCTTAATCCACTTGGAGAGTCTGGTCCTGGGTCTCACAGTCCCCTTGGCCACTTGGACCCTAGAATTCCCCCGGGGGTGCTCGCTTTCTAGTTCCAGGACCTTTGGTGGGCTGAGAGACCTGGGAGCTGTAGCCTTTCTGGACCGACTGGGGTCGAGGTGAAGGGGATCTTTGGGGAGCCTCCAGAAATGTGGGGATGTTTCTAGAATAAGCACTCCAACACCAATGAGAGCGGAAGAGAGGAGCTGTCACTGGTGGACCCAAGCCAGGATAGCTCATGGTGGGCTTCAATGCCAGAGCTAGTTTGTTTTCTCATCTTATATTCTAACACCACAAGGCAGGGCTGGCAAGCATTTTACAGACGGGGCGGGGCAGTCAGCAGGTTGTTAATGGCAAAGGACTCATTGTTTTTGGCTATTTCTCCAGGTCACTCTGTTCCAGGTAGCAAGTGAAGTCATACTTGGCAAATAGGCAGTACAAGCAGTGCTTTACATGAATCGATCAGTAAGTCAATAGCCAGTAATTGGTCTTTTCTACCTATTCTACTTTGTAATCTTCAGGTTGGATTAGGAGAAAGTGCAAGATATATAGTGTTGTGTCATTGGTGTGAAACATAGGGAAAGGGAGAATAAAGTGTACTTGAGAACTTGTTCTTATATGCTTGGAATACACCCAAGAACAAATGTAAGAAACTCACTTGCCTGCATGGAAGGCTACTCTGTGCCGGGGATCCTGGTGGAATGAGACCTTTCACTATGTATGTGGTCCACCGAATCATCATCATCATCATCATCGTCATCATCATCACTCTTACTTTTCTGTTACTACTGCTACTACTGCTATTACTCTTAAGTGTGTCATATGTTCGCATGCTGTGTGCATACTTCACGTGTGTGTGGAGGTCAGAGAATAGAATGATGGAGTGAATTCTCTTTGACTTTTCAGGGGATTGAACTCAGGTGGTCAGGCTTGTGTGGCAAGCACTTTTTCCCATGAGCCACCTCGCTGACACATTGGTCCACTGAATTTCGAACTGTATAAGAACCAATGAAAGTTAAAAGAAAACAAACAAACAAACAAACAAACAAACATCTATTTGGACAGAAAGATGGGTTATACTTTGTCTTTTAATTTTGTCTTTTACAATTTTCCCCATTAGGTGGTGCTCTGAAAACACACTGTGCTTATTTTGCCCTCACTATTTTGGGGCGGGGGTGGGGGTGGGGGTGGGGGTGGGAATCTAGGGTTGGGGCACTGAGACGCTAACCCAGAGCCTCAGACAAGCTTGACAAGTTCTCCACTTCCCTACTTCTTACACCGGCAGCCCCCCCAAGCTTGGACTTTTATTCTATTTTGGAAAATGACCTTTTTTTTTTTTTTTTTTTTTTTCTGAAAGTTCTTCCTCTCTGCTTGCCACCTCTGCAGACGTTAAGTCTAACGGTAGGGTTGAAAATCTCGCTACTGGGCTCTCTGCAAAATGAATCGCTTTGACTCTGGGTACTGGATAGAATTGAGAACACCTGGAATGAGAAAGAAACTGTGCAACTGGTCAGAAAATCAACTGATGCTTTCAAATCTGTCTTCCTGACTGAAACTTGTGATGGGCTGAGCCAGAGCTTCTGATTGATTGCTAGGCTGACTGGACATTAGTAAAGGTTTTTCGATTTTTTTTCTCTCACTCCCTCCCCTCTCCCAACTTTTAAAAGCTATTTATTACTTTTTTTTTTTAACATGTAACTCCCTACTACACCAAACTAACCAGGAACTCACAGAGAAACACCTCTGCTTTCAGAGGGCTGGGATTAAAGGTGTGTTCCACAATGCCCAGTTTGGTCTTTAGTTTTTAATGGCCATTTTCCCTTAGAGGGGTCACTAGGTAGTGTTTAATGCATTTTTGCTCAGCACACTGAGGTGTGAAGTGTACCAGTGCCATCAGGTAGATAAGAGGCCAAGGATGTTCCTGTAATGGGCAGGACAGTCCTTCATCACAAAGACAAAACGGTGGGCATTGAGGTTAAGAATAATGCTCATCATCTCTGGCTGAGGCCCTGCTCTTGGAAGATGTACTGATGCACACAGCACACAGGTATTCTTAGGTCAAGACAGTCAGTCCTGGTACCAGAGAGGGGTTCCACAGTTAGCCCCCACCCACTTCCCATTCTTATTGGGGGAAAAAAGATTTGGCAGCAGCTAGGAAGCGTGCAGATCGGGCAGAGGCGCTGCCCCAGGATCAGTGGTGAAGAGCCCGCCTACTTTGAGTCCTGTCGAGTTCACTTCTTCCTCAGTTGGTTTCCTTGGAGATGGCTGTACTGGTCATCTTCCCGATCCTTGAGGGGCTGAAGAGGACAGCATCATCATCAATTTTCTATCCTCCATTAATTAATGTAAAGCTTAGTCACTGAATATCTTTATGAACAGAACTTTGGAGTGGGTGATCGGAGCTAGAATGAGAAGAGGGAGGGTCCGTGTGGACTTTCTTTGTGTGTCTCTTGAGCTCAGTCAGTGTGTTCTTCAGCTTTTTCTCACTAGATGCTCACCTTGGTCTCTCTTAGTCTTTCTCTTTATTTTCCCCATGCTATCCCACACAGCAATGCTATCCCATTCCATCATATGGCATGCCATAAATAGCTCTTTATTCCTAGAGCAGCTTCCAAATAACTTGCCCCCAATTCCAAAAGTCAACCCTTACCAACTGCAGCACTGTTTTTTTTTTTTTCTCATCCCTGGTTCTTTACCTGGTAGAGCTGGTCATTTTGCAACAGAGTCTGCTTGTCTGAAGCTGCACAAAAAATAGATAAAATATGTATTCAAAGGCAGAATGGTAATAAATTGAATTATTCACACAATGGAATTCTAAGCAGTATAAGGATCAGCTGGACACAAGAATGTGGACCACTTTCAAGAGCAAAAGAAGCTTCACACGAGAATACATACTGCACAAGTCCGTTTCCACAAAACCGGAACCAAGCAAAACATCCCTGTGGTCAGAAGTCAGGGTAGTGCTCATGTTGGGGACAGGTAGTGGCCTGAAGTGACCATCATGGGGCTTCTGCAGTGTTGGTAACGCTCTGGCTCTTCAGTTGGGTGCCAGATGCATGAATACGTTTGTTTTGTTAGTTTTTTTAGCTGTATTTCTTATGATTCTACTTTTTAAAACATTTATACTTCAATTAAAAGGCTTCTTCTAGAGGGGCTAGGGGGATGTAGATCAGTTGGTTGAGTGCTTAGCATGTGTGAGGTCATGAGTTCGATCCCTAACAGTGTGTGTACCAGGTATTGATCCTAACACTTGGGATGTAGAAAAACTGGAAGCTCATCTGGAAGGTCATCTTCAGTTACATAAGATCATCTTTAATTTTTTAAAAAAATATTTATTTTATGTAAATGAGTGCTTTGTTCTCATGCACACCAGAAGAAGGAATCAGAGTCCATTATAGATGGTTGTAAGATGCCATGTGGTTGCTGGGAATTGAACTCAGGTCCTCTGGAAGAATAGCCAGTGCTCATAACTGATGAGCCATCTCTCCATCCCTCCTTTTTTTTTTTTTTTTTTTAAAGAATGTTTTGTTTTCTTCTTCCTTTCTATGGGACAGGATCTCACAATATAGTTCTGTCTAACCTGTAGATCAGGTTAGCCTTAAACGTAAGGTGATCCTCCTGTCTGAGCTTCCTGAGTACTAGCATTGCAGATATGAGCCACTATATTTGGCTTCAATAAAGAGTTTTGTTTTTTGAGGCAGGGTCTTACTATGTTACCCTTATCAGGCCTGGAACTCAATATATAGACTAGCCTGGCCTGAAACCCACAGAGATCCTCATGCCTCTGCCTCTGGAGTGTTAGGATTAAAGGCATGTGCCATTATGCCTGTCTTCAGGCATAATGAGAGAGAGAGAGAGAGAGAGAGAGAGAGAGAGAGCATAGTAACTCATGCTTGTAATCTCAGTCCTTAGGAGGAATACCAGGGATTTGAGCCAGCCTGAGGTACATAATGAGTTCCAGCCAGGGCTATCTTACAAGACGCTGTCTCAACAAAACAATAACAACAACAACAACAGGAAAAAAGAAAAGAAAAAGCCAAATCTTAGGCCAGGCAAATTATGCTGGGGTAATAAGAAATGTCTTTTTTTTTCTGTCCCACAAAGGCACAGAGTCATGTTAGTTACACCCATTAGCACCAACTCAGGCCCTCCCTGGGCCTACTTTGATAAGAAGGAAGCCAAGGGTCTTAGTTGGTCCTGTCTCTCAGCTAAAAGCATTCCTTTACTTCTTTTATCCTTTAGTACATAGAAACGACCTCAGGGCTTCACACATGCATGTGAGTGTGTTACACTGAGCTACATCCATCCCTACCTTATTTGTTTGTTTGTCTATGAGTCAGGGTTTCATGTAGCCTAGACTGACTTTGAATTCACTATACAGCCTTGTATGACCTTGAGTTTCAGATCCTCCAGTCTCTACCTCCCAAATAGTGGGATTACAGGTTTGGGGCACCGTGCACAGTTTTAGTCAGTGCTAGTGACTGGATCCAGAGTTTGGAGCAAGCTGAGCAGGTGCTCTGCTAACCCAGCCACATCTCCAGCATCTCCCTCTTCTTTTTGAGACAGGCTGGCCTCAAAGTCTGTATGTAGCTGAAGATGACCTTGAACTTCTGATTCTGTAGCCCCCCCCCATCTCTTGAGTGTTGGGATCATAGACATATGCTATCACATCTGGTTTATGGGGTTCTGGGATTGAGCTTTAGGCATTGTGCAAAGTAGGTAAGCCCTCTTCTAACTGAGGTATATCTCCAGACTGCAGCCCTTTAGAAATTTTATTTTAAGACAGAGTATTTCTCTGTTGCCTTGGCAGGCCTTGAACTCAGGGCCCTCCTGCCTCAGTCTCCTAAGTACCAGGATTGCAAGCATGTGCCACCACATCTAGCTTCTTTTACCTCTTGACTGACGAACTCCATCCTGCCCAGCAATGAAGTATATACCAACAGCAAGGAAGAAAATGCTGATGATTTCAGCGAAGAAGAAGCCGAATATGGTGCCTATATTTAGCTCAATGCAGTTCTCACACACTGTGGGGAACAAGGCACAGGCAGGGACAGACTTAGGATGTAAGGCATTGTAGCATTTTTTTCCCCTTTCTGCCTACCAGCACTAATGCTTCTGCCCTGGACAGGCTCCCCTCTCTTTGTGCCTTATGGCCAGGGAGGATTCTTACCCCGAGAACTGTTGCTTCACAGTGTTCCTCCTTGAGAAGTCCCAGAGATGCCTAAACAGTCCTATAGTCAGGAACTATAGGTGAACGATAGGAACTGAAGGTGAAGCAGAAGGAAGACCTGGTGTCCACTCTCAAAAGCCCTGCCCTCCGCTATGCTGCATATAAACCCCAAGTCCCCTCCCCCTAACTGATTTATTTGCTGAACTTGTGTAATCCATGAGGTCCACCCCAAGGTTAAACAGGTTTTACAGGGCTCTGCTTTCTCAAGAAGCTGTGGGGAGTGTTGATTTAAAGAGTAGTAACCCCAGATGAAGAGAACTAGCTCCTGCCTCCATAAATCACTGCTTAGCATGTATTCCCACCCCATCCTGGATGGTAAGCCCATCAGAACAGTAAGTGCTGCTAAATTCCCAATGACATAAGAAGGTCACCTACTTCTGTAATACACTTGGAGTGGCTTTGACTTGTCCTTCGCTCCTCGACACTGAAACACGCCTCGAGGGTCTCTGGCACTGTTTCCTAGACTCCACGTGTTTTTAGTTGAATTTGGAGGACTTATTCTGTTGCCATCTTTAAACCACAAGATAGTCTTGTCCTTCAAGTCACAAATCAGAAGTACAGAACCATCTCCTCGATTGTCATCCACTTTTACCAAATGGTTTTCTGAAAAGGGACAAGTCGTGGTTCTGTTAAGGGTCTTTGTAATTGTACCAGGACAAGACCATGAGAACAGCGTTTCTCCAGTTTGTGTGTGTGTGTGTGTGTGTGTGTGTGTGTTTATGTATATTTTTATTCTCCACCTCCAGTTTTTTTTGTTTTCTTTCTTTCTTTCTTTCTTTCTTTCTTTCTTTCTTTCTTTCTTTCTTTCTTTCT